GAATGGCAGATAATTTAAACTCCGGTTATAAACATTACAAACCAAGTGAGCTAGCACACCCGCAGCACAAAGTAACGAACAAAAATTAAAACACAGTCACTAGGATGGGTTCTCCCCACACATACACTTGCTAAAGCGATTTAATGCATCCCCTATTGAACACCGGGCCGCTAGTGTGCTGACCACCGCACAAAAGCTTTGAAAAAGGAGCTTAGGGACTCTTGGACAAAGCTGCCAGTGCCAGCCCCTCACCCAGCAGTCTGGAGAACGCAGCCACTTTTGTGGATTGCCAAGCCGCCAGCACTGAAGGAGCGCAACTCCCCGCACCTGCGGCTCAGCAGATCTGCCCCAGTTTTCCCATACATTCACACGGGGGAGGACAAGTCATTTGCCACCAGGCAGGCCCTGTGGCATCTAAACACTGGCCAGCCTGCCTTGCTCTTCCGTGAGAGGTCTTGTAGGGGCATCATTTAGAGCAAAAACTTTGAGAAATAACCATGTTGATGCAGCACAGGGCTTTCCTCCACCTGTAAGCTTTGTGGCCAGGCCTCTACCACACTAGGGGCAGCCAGCCCCACACGCTGAATTCTCACTGGCATCTGCTCACCAGCGAAGCAGTTTTGCTCTTCACAGCTGCATAAAAAGGGGCAGGCTGAGGTGCTGTACAGTGCACAACCTCCACCAGCTTTGCAGTGGCAGCCTTGTAAAACACAGATTTCCAGCATCAAGACACCATAAGATTTCCCTAAAAGGAAGTATCAATTTCAAAAAGCCAAACTTGTTCTTAAAAAAGCCAGGCTTCTTGAGCCCAACAGCTGCCTACTTGTGGAAAATGGATGATCTACAATAAAAATACATCAAAAAGCATCTTTGATGTTTTTCAGCTGCCGGACAGCCAGGTCAACCGGGAGGTTGAATTTCAAGTTGCTCAGGCGACTGAGAACATTGAGTGCGCTCTCAAAGCCTGTGTTTGCCATGTAGCTCCATGGCTGGTAGTGGGACTGTACCAGAGCTCCAGATTTGCAGATCAGATTCACCCAGGAGACCAGGCGCTGCTCATTAAGTGCCATACACACCAGAGCTTTCAGTTCAGAGTCTGCACTGCGCTTGAAGGGGTCGTGCTCTGTGAGGACAGTGTGAATCGCTGTCAGCAGGCTCTGTTTGGGGGTAATGGCCACTCCTCCTGTCACAGGCAAGGCAAAGGACTGGGAGAGCTTGCGAGCCGGGGATTCCACGAAGGCTTGTCCGTTCTTAGCATTGTAATACTTCACAAAGAGTTCCCATGGGTGCATGGTCTGTGGCGATGAGGTGAACACAGGAATCAAGCACGCAATGGGTGCCAATACCAGGCTCATTCCTTGGGAAGAGGCATAGAGGCCGTGAGCCATCAGGTCTCGCAAAGCAATGGTCAACTCCTTCCGCACAGCTAGAGTCAGCTCATCTCTGCCTCCTAAGGGAATGTCCTGCAGATCAGAGGAACTGATAACGTGGTCTTCCTGCTGGTGTTTCACAGCTAGCTGCCTCACTCGCTCTACTGACAACTCCAGTTTCTTAATTAAGGGGGAATAGTCCTTGTTGGCTTGGTCCTTCTGCCAGAGGGTGCGAGGAATCTGACCAGTAGCACAACCAAACTGACTAACAGCAAATATTTGTAGCACAGCAAGCATGCGACGCATGAGGTGCAGGCCTGTTTCTCGCATCTTTCTGGCATCTTCTGGGTTCACTGATCAGGTTAGAAAAGAGAAAAAAATGCTCTCATTAAGGAATCAACAGCTCTGCTCCTTCGTACACACAAAGGGAGTGCAAATGTCTGCTCCTCCTCTACCATGGATTCTCCTCCTCCTCGGGAGCTTTTGTCAGTAGGACTGATGCTATTTTTTGTAGTTTTAACGCACTGAAGCCAAAGAGAAAAGCAAACATTTGCATGGCCTGTTCTCAACAATCAGGTCATCTTACAGAGAAGAAATCCTACAACAGCTCTCCTAGTGGGCGCATACACAGTAACAAAAGATAATTCTTTAGACACGACAATACCACATGGGTAATTAGGAGATACCAAAACCTTTGCTGAAGGAGATCATTGCCTACTTCCAAGAAGTGTCTTGTCTCAGCAAGCTAACGTACACTGTTTACTCCTGATGCCATTATTACATTCAATTTGTGAGAGTAGCCACACTGGGTAAGACCCGAATTCCATCTGGGCCACTATTCTCTCTCCGACTAGTGGCAGATGCCTCAGATTACAAAAGGTAAAGGTATTGTAGTATTTCCTCTAGTATAGCTATTCTAAATTCAATAAATTCCTGTGACAAGTAGACAAGTCTCAAATTATAAAGAACACTGGATCCATCCAGCTCACTGTATCTGCTCACAGAGCTAAGAACTGAAAGAACATTAATTACACTGCAGTCCAATGGTGTGTACAAGACAAGGCTGCTCAGTCTGTCTGCATTTTGCACTAAGTATCAGAAGTCCCTTCTACTCCTGATACCCGCTGAGGACCAATTCCACCCTCTGTGCCGCACGTTCAGGTTCTGTGACTACTCTAATGATCCCATGGAGGAAGGGTAAAGGAACTGGACACAGGGCTTCTGTCAGTGGGAGTAGGAAAGCACAAAAACCAACTGCCAGGAAAAAAAGCAAAGCAGCCTATCATGACTGGATGGTGGTCCATGCTTGCTGAACTTCAAGTGAGTGACAGCAGGAGCAGGGCCAGAAGCTCTGAGCCAAGCAGTGCCCACCTCTGTTTCCAGAAGGCCGTGTATTTGGTTTGTAGGACCCGCCGCCATCTTTTCTGCCTGCACATTCACAGTGTCCATCTTCTGCCTTACCAGAGCTTCCAGCTTCATCTAGAACAAGAATTTCACATTATTATTTCATATGTGTGAATTTAAGCTGCATATCCCAAGTATTAAGGTCAATATTCCTTAGACCTCTGCACCTTTTTTGTCAGTCTCTTGTTCTCCCCACTATCAGTTCAGAGAGATCTGTACTTCCTCATGACCTAGAAACTCTTCCTGCATCCTCTGACATCTGTGACCTCCTTCCTCATGACTTCGTCAGGGAATTACAAAGCAATTCAATCTGCTCATCTAAAAATTCAGCACTGACCCTGAATGAAGCTGATGAACATTTCGAGGTCCCTTATCTGCGTCTTCAGTTGTTCCACCAGCTGCTCCTTCACTCTGGCTGGATTAACAATCTGTGCTATGGCAGCATCAACACGCTGTCGCAATTCCTCTGGAGAGAGCGTTGCAATATCTTCACTCAAGTCCATATCCAGCTTCTTTATCAACTCATTTATAATCATCTGCAAAACACAAGTTAGTGGCATGATTTCACTGTGTGGCGCTGCTGCCCACAAGCTTCAAAATACTCCTTTACCCATTCGTTCCCTTGGAAACAGGCCACCTTTGCTGAACTTAGAAAATTGCAAGAGAAGACACAGGACACGTTTACACATGCAGACAAACTACTGATGCTCTATTACAGCTGCTGGTGAGAAATGAGGACTGACCAACTCCTACAGTCTGTAAGAGGCTCACAAATGCTAAGAAATACAGGAAGAAGGACTTTGCGAGCCTTACCCGTTGTCTTTCCATAACCACAGACTGTGGCAAAGAATCATAGCTGCCCTCTTGGTAAGCAAACGTCTCCAGGTCATCCAGCTGTGTTTTGAGCTGCAGGATCAGCTCTCTTTGCTTCTCCTTCTGGACCTCAATTTGCTCCTGCTTCTCTTGCTCACTCTGAAAAAAAGTTACCAGTAAATAAAATTGAAGATTTACTGTCACAGCCAAGCCCATAGAACAGGATCGTGGTATGAGGAGTGTTTCCTTCAGCTCACGCACTTAACTAGTGAACACTGCGTAGCAGTCTGAGAAAAACATGTGCCTGAACATCAAGGAGAGGTACCAGTCACATCACCTCGTCTGACAAAGGAAGAGCATCTCCAGACCTCCTGCACCCAAGCCCTACCTCACAAGGCCGGGATCCAGGAAGCACTGTTGCAAGTGGCCAAGTAACATGTACGTATCAAAGATCCTCTGAGTCACCACTGTATCTCGGAGTGGAGCAGTAACACACAAAGCAGGGCTTTAAGGCACGTCCCTGCGAGCTGGCTCCAAGTCATCAGGAACTTGCAGGCTCCTGTAACCGAGCTTCGTGCAAACTCGCCGGCCCGGTCTCCCCCCAGAGCTGGCCACAACCCACAGCGGAGCGTGCCGTGCCTCTGGACAGCACAGCGCTCAGTGCGGACACGGCCGCCCCTCGTCTCGGCCACCGAGCTCCCCTCCGCACGTCCCGGTGGCGAGCAGGACCGCAGCTGCTGCT